AGGGAAAAAAGTGGGGCTTCCCCCCCCCCCCCCTCCCATTTTCTCCCCCCCCCCCCCCCATTTTCTACCTAAAACCAAAACACAAGTGGATTTGGGGATGCTCCGGCCACGCCGCTGAATATCCCCCCATCCTCTTTCTCTTTTTCCCTTGTTTCTCCCCATTATCTCCATTGAAAATTCATTTTCGGGGGGAAAAATGGCTTTTTTCCCCCCCATTTTTTTATTTTTTTCCCCCTCATCACACTCATTTACCAGGCCGCCAAAGCCCTTTTCGCATCCTACCCCGAAATCCTGCCAAGTCGGCTCTTTCCAGCCAAGTCTGCGACTAATTGGGCTATTACCCAAAAAAAAAAAGCCTCCTCGGCGGCGGTTTCGAAGCCATTACCTCACCTTGGCGGCAAGAAAATAATGAAAAATAAATAAAAATCATCCCAAGTCGGCGGAAAAAGAGGCGAGAAGATGCTTGGATGGGGATGCTGGGCAGGGAGGAAGGCAAAAACGCAGCCAAAAAATGGCTTTATGGGGAGCAGGTGGGGGTGGGAAAGGAGGAAAAAGGGGTTTGGTTGGGGGTTTTTGGGGAAAATGGCCAAAAATAGTTGCAGGAGGGGGAAAAAATGTAAAAAAAAAAAAAAAATGTAGATAAAAAGGGTCAAAAAGGTATAAAAACTTATGTTTAAAAAATTATTTAAGATGATGTCACGTGTGAAAAATTAAAAATGTAAAAAGTTATGCGAAAAGGTGTAAAAAACTAAGTCAAAAATGTAAAAAAAAGTTAAAAATGTAAAGAACGATGTTAAAAATGTAAAGATGCATTAACACGCATAAAAATGTCAAAAATGATGTTAATGAAAAATGTCAAAAATGATGTTAACAAAAATGTCAAAAATGATGTTAAAATGCAATTAGGTTAAAAACCTAAACAATTATGTTAAAAATGTAAAATGTACAAAATGTTAAAAATATTTGTAAAAATTATGTCAAAATTATGTAAAGTAATATGTAAAAAAGTTTAAAAGTTATGTAAAAAATATGTAAAAAAATCATGTAAAGATAGGTAAAAAAGTTTAAAAATCATGAAAAATATGTAAAAAATCATGTAAAATATGTAAAAAATTATGTAAAAATGTAAAAGAGTTTAAAAATTAGGAAAAAAAGGGGAAAAAAGAGTAAAAAAAAATTTAAAAAAAAAAAAGGTAAAAAATGCGCGAATCCCTCTCACTTTAGCGGATTTTTTTGAAGACTAGGGCCAAATACGTCAACTCGAGAGCGCAACCACAGCGAAGGTCTTCAGGGCAAGAAAAATCTCCTAAATCAGCAAGATTGACCCTATTCCTTCGCATTTCGCAGCGAAATTTCTCTACCGCCGTCACGCGTGCTGAAAACAGCGGTTCTGAGCCCAAAAACGCGCCGAGGACACCTGAAAAATCAACATCTCCGCCCAATTTTTAATCTGTGATTTTTTTAAAAAATATTTTTAGCATTAAAAAAATACATACTTTTATAATTTGCCCATTTTGTCCACCTAAAAAGCACTTTTTTTGGGGGGGGGCAAAGCTGCTTTTATCACTTTCCATGCTGAAAACGCTCAAAAATCAACATCTCCACCCAATTTTTAATAACGCTTTAAAATATATTTACATAATAAGTCAATGAATAAATAAAATTGTGTATTTTTTTTTCAATTTTCCATTTTTGTCCCAGATGTAACCACCTAAAAAGCAATTTTTTTTGGGGGGGCAACCACCTAAAAGCAATTTTTTTGGGGGGGGCAAAGCTGCTTTTATCGCTTTCCGTGCTGAAAACGCTCAAAAATCAACATCTCCACCCAATTTTTAATAACGCTTTAAAATATATTTATATAATAAGTCAATAAATAGATTGACGGTTTTCCCTGGGCTTTTTCTTTTAATTTGTTCGGAAAAAATACGGATTTTTATGCCGACTCTTTAATTTTCAACAGGCAGAGTTGCAAATTTGTGCAATTCGCTTTTCCAAACTCTTAGAAATCCCGAATTTTCAGGCGAAAAGCTCACAGCGGCCTCAGCGTCGAGTCAAAAAAAAAAGCAACTCTTGGCGGCCCCTTCTCCTCCAAACCCACTAAACTGAAGGAAAAACGCTTGAGCGACCCCTTCGATGGGGAAAAACGGGAGGGTTTTGGTCAACGATGCTTCTGAGGGTCCCCAAAATTCAACGTATTAAACCGGGGGGCAGATAAGGGGCGGGGATGGGGAAGGGAGCGGGGGACGTCGCTGTAGGATGCCGCAGAAAATCTCGGCTATTTTCAAAGTCTCTTCAATTGCCCATTAGGACTAAAACGGTGTCGCAGCTCCCCGCTGCGTAAGCGAGAAAGGCGGTGTGTTTCGAGAGCAAATGATGCCACAGAAGTTGGAGGAGCCATAAAAACCCCACCGAGGTGTCGTTTGCAAGAAGTGACCTTTTCCCACCGAAGGAGACGAGCGGAAAGGAGACCCCGGTGGCTTCAGGGGGGGCGTAAAACTCGATTTATTTATTTTAGCTTGCAGAGAACAGGCTTGATTCTTTTTTTTTTTTTTTCCTGGGAGGGGAGATTTTTCTGCTTTTGCAGCCGAGATATGCAGCACGCTGAGGAAAAACTCATAATTTCCCATACGAACCCCCCCAAAAAAAGCTGCTTTGAACGCGGAGCCGGTTCAGCGCTCAATCCGGATCATTGTAGCTGGGAAAGTAGAAACGTAACATGGATTCGCCCCCCCCCAAAAAATCTCAGGATGGGCTGTGAGGCGCAGGACCATCTCCGAAATCCAACCTCAACCCCCCACATCCAGCCCATTGGGGTGCTCCAGTAGAGTTTCTCTTGGACAAACTCCTCTTCTTATAATAACTTCTCTCCCTAACGATGCTCGGAAAAGTTATTCGACCCCTTAGAGCAACACTGTAGATGAAGTCTTATTTTCCCCCTGCCACGCGTTGCCCAAAAATGCCATAAAAATAAATCAAAAGGCCATTCCTACGGCTAAACCCGGCCCGGTTTAGCCAGACGTTTCGTCTTTCCAGCTTATTAACCTGCTGGCTGCAAACACGCCACCGCGTCGGCTTTCCAAGAAGACCCCGCAACCCCAAAATAAGCCAGAAAGGGGAAAAAAACCCATAGTTTGACCCCAAACCCTTCAATCTTGGAGACTGTGTCAAGAGGGGTTTTAATTTTGGCCAGTTTGAAATGAACGTTTTGGGGTGAAATACTTTGTAACGGTCATTATTTAGGAAGGCACGGTAATTAATGCAGGAGTTGGGAGTCACGAGGGGTCTGGGGGAGCCCACGGGTGCTGGGGGACACTCACCTGTGGGGTGTCTTGGTAGGGAGGAGGGGGCACCGTCTGGGTGGCCATCATCGTCAGAGCCGGTGCCGGGGAGACATGGTGCATCCTGGGTGGGAGTCACATCGAGAACCTGCGGGCAGGAGAAATGCCGCTGGATTCAGGGGGATCTCCCCCCCAAAAATCCCGCAGGAAAGAAAAAAAAAAGGGACAGAAAGGAGAGGTGACATTCCTCGGACGAGCACCCCAGCACAGCGCTCCACCACCCAGTCCCTGGAAGCAACCCAAGATGATTTGATGGCCCTTATCAAACTGGATGATTATTTGAGATTTGTGATTTTGGACAAGGAACGCATCGGGGGCGAAGCAAAGAGGGTCGCTGGCAAGGAGATCCTCCCTGGAGAGCAGCCAGGCAAGGGCAGAGCTCTTGGAGATGATGGTTGCCATCAGTGAACCTCATTATATTTTCCCCTTGCAAAACCTTCCATTTTCTGAAACTATACACCAAAAAAAAAAACCCAAACGATGTATCTCTTTGCCTTTGGCCACCAGGGAGTCACATCCACAGGCACTGCACGCTCAATCCAGAAGGAACGTTGAGTATCCAGTGTTGAGCTGATGGACACAATTGACTCCTACATTGAGTTGACCAACCCAATTGACTCCTCTGTTGCATTGACTAATCCAGTTGACTCTTCTGTTGAGTTGACTAACCCCATGGCAGTTGAACGCACCGAAGTGAGGAAAGAGGGTTCAAACCCTTGCTTGATTTGAACCGGGCGGCAAACCCTCATTTTGCACATCCCATACGGACATCCTCGAAGCTGGGAGGCAGGCTGAGACACGCCGCCCTCGATCTCTCTTGAAGCTGCTCCGCTTTCTGCAAATGCATAGTTAGTCGAAGAGCAAACAGACTCTTTTTTGGTATCTTCAGGTCCCAAGGTGATGGAGAAAGAAGAGGGGCCCCAGGATGGGACAAATTTGTAGAGGAGTTCTTGGCTGGATGCCTTGGGGAAGGGTAGATCTGGTGGCAGAGTGTAACCAAAAATCATCTCTTTGCCCCAAAATGCCTCCTGTCCTATTGTTTCACTGCAGCTGCCTGGTTGCTTCAGAAGGAAAGCCAATAATCTTGCTTAACTCCTCAAAAAACCCTGTCCTGGGTCCTCTCGGAGGCTCTGGATTTAGCAAACTCACAAAGCCACCTGGTAAAATCTTCCCGGAGCCTCCAAAAGTGCATCTGTCCCTGCAATGACTCGTTTTTGTAAGAAGGCGACATCTCTCGAAGGGTTCACCCAGTTGCGATGGCCATCGTTGCGTTGGGTTCCCTGTTGGCTTCTCATCTGGAGAGGAGCTGCCACGCCGTCCCGTGGAAAGCAGAAATGCAAGAAGTTACGCCCAGTCCTCCGCTATAGCAAAGGGATCGACCGAAAAATAGCATCAGCGTTGCTTTTGCCACGAAATGGTGACATGCAAGAAGAAACACTCTCGCGCAAGGCAGAGGAACGGGGATACCGATGAGCTCAGTAAAAACCGAGGCACATTTGGGGTCTTTGGATCAGCCTCCGCAGTTTTTTGGGGGAAGATTCACGATATTCTGGTCTTCTCCATGAGGTCCACAGTTGTTTGGGGGAAGATTCGCAATATTCTGGTCTTCTCCACGAGGCTTCGGGCTTTGCAGGGGCCATGAGAATGAATGCACTGAGCCCACGTGGAAAGCCAAGTGCTGTCTGCGCGGGATGAGCATCACCCACTCTTTATTATTTTGCAGGAATAAATTAATTTCTTTTTTTTTACTTTGTACTAGTATGGATGACCCATGAATTGAGTATTAAGGGAGCACACCCAAAATCCTGCAGACTGGGCAGGACTGGGGTCCCCGCATGACACAGCCCTCTTACAGCCAGAAGGATATTGCATTTATGGGATTAAAACAACGCTTTTCATCTTTTTTTCCCCAACAGCAAAATAGCAGGAGGCAAAATTATCTGCTCCTGAGTGAACTCGTAGCTTAAAATCTTCGGGGTCCGATGTTAAAACTTGGCTTGCGGCTGTGGGCACATCCTCGCGGGGTAACCCCAAGGGGAAATCTCCCCACCAGAAATAGCTGCAGCTGGAGAAAAGCAGAATTCAGCACCGTGACGGTCTAGACATCTCGGTGGGAAGCTAAAAAAAATAAGAGATTGCTATTTGGGGAAAAAAAACCCTGCTTGGCATCTTATTGTTCATGCCAGGAGCGTACCTACCTCTAGAACACGGCGATTTATTGCGGGGTGCAAGCTTTTCGGCCAAATATATTCCCAGAAGGTGGCAGTCCGGAGCCCAATTTAATTGCCGAATACCATCTAACCTGCTAAAATCAAGCCGTTCGTTAAGGCTTTATGGGCTCTGATTTGTTTGGAGAATGGGACTTGTAGCCAAACGTAAAAAAAAAAAAAGGGATAAAAATGAGAGACAGCTGTTGCCGATAGCGGTGTATTTATCTTGGGGGAAACAAATGCACTTGGGTGCCGTAAATATCCAGGGAAGCGCCTGGCGCCCGCGGGAAAAGCCGGATGGGTGTTTCACGCGGGAGCCCCCGGCCATGAATCTTGGCATAACGGTGCAAAGCTGTCAGCCCCGTAGATTTATCGGCAGCCAAACGCAGGGAAGGATCGAAAGCTTCTACTTCATGCATTAATCCTTTCTTATTCTTTATATTTTTTATTTTATTCATTAATCCCCTCTTTTTATTCCCCCCCCCCCCCTTAAATCAATTTAGCCGCGTGAGCTCTTGACCATAGGCATCCAGATAACGAAAGGAGCAGAGCATGGCCAAACCCCTGCCAAATCCTTGCGGATCAGCTCAAGGCAATGATCAAATCTTGGGCAAAAGGTAAATTTTGGGGGGCTGGGGGTCAAGGAGGGCAGGAATTGCAGCCAGCGCCGGGGGCGTTGACACAGAGAAAAGAAACGGTGAGCAATAAAACCCATAAAGGCTCTTTCGTTTCCGGAAGCGGCAGTATTTTAGGTTTTGGCAGCGACCTGAGATCAAAGTATCCTAAATTTCCTTACAAAATGAAATTCTTTCAGCTATCGCTGAAATATCGCCATTAAGTTGAAAATGTATTTCCCGAAGAGCTCGCGTCTACCTAAAAGAGTCTCAGATTTATAGGTGGCTTTTTTTGCCAGCAATATATTACCTCCTCTTTCAAATAAAAATAATTAAAGACTAAGTTGAGATGTTGGGTTTTTTTTTTTTCATCATGGTCACCGGTGCCTTAAAACATTTAAAAAACCGAAGTATTGCAGACAGTCATCCACCCCCCCAGGTGAATATGACCTCCTTGATTAATAAAACAGCTGTAAAACCATATTAGAAGTAGAGCTGAATGCAAAAAAAAAATCGCGTTGTTGGACTCCACGTTAGCGTTTTCGGTGGATAACGTTGACATTAGCTTTGCAAGGTGCAACTCTTGTTTCCAAATCAACGGGAAAATGGGGATCGTTTTTTTCTAGCTCATTCAGCAGCTTCTCCCCCGCGGCAAAAGACGCAATTGATAACGGAGGCTTCAACGTGAGAAATCAGAAAATCAGCTTTTCAGGCATTTCCCCTTCTCTACCCAAAGTTGCAAAATCATTAGAGATACATGAGGAGGTTTTTCCAGCCACGGGAAGGTATTTTTCTGTATTAAGGGAAGATTGCCTTTTCTAAAGGGTATTTTTTTAAATATTTTTATTTAAGATTTGCAATGTGTTAGTCATTGCAGCGGGCTGCAAGCTTTTTATGCCACCGTCTTCACAGAGGGCTTGTGCATGCTGAAGTTTATGATATATGCATACATTATATGCATATATCTAAGTTAAAATGAAGAAATATAGCTGAGGGGGAAGGGAGAGGCACCTCCAGAGGATGATACATCTCGCTCTGAACGGCCAGCGAGGACAGGTTCAACCCTCGGCGGGTGATGCTGATTCTTCATTGGCCCTAAAGTGAATCGAGAGCAACCCTCTCACTCTCGAACATCTCATTTCTATCCACCAACCTTCACCCTTTTTGCTTGGTTTTTACCAAAATTCTCCCATTACCCTGAAAGATGAACCCCAGGTTTTCACAAGCTATTAAAGGAACCCCCTTATGCCACCCTGAGCTCATTAAAAATAAAGCGAATGCTATTAAATGGTCAAAAACGGGAAAGAATCCCATTTTTCAAGACATCACGCATTCTTGGTCATTCCTCACATTCAAGGCTGCTTCCAAGCGGGCTCACGTGATGCCTCATCTGAGGATATCAGGAGCACTTGTGCAAGAAATACCCCTACACCACCCAATATTTTCAATTTTTTTAGGAATATTTGGTAGCCAAATTTCCTCTCTCCAAAGCCAGGAGGGTTTTTGCACTGGGAGCATCCTTTGCTCTCGGCCAAGATGCTGGTTCCCTAAATGTTGACCTTTGTACCCTTCCCAGCATCCAGTTATTGAGTTATTTCCCAATAAAAAAGGACGAATCGAGTCTGCGCTTCTGCTACAACCACGCAGATGGAGATTCGACATTTCTGCAGGATAAACCCCGGAGCAGAGCAAACCCCTTTTCTAATTTTCTCCTAAAAAAGCTCTTGGTCGATGCATAAGCCCTGGGGTAAAAGGGAGAGGGAAACGCCACGTTGGACAACGCCAAAAAACTCTTGCCAAGCCCCAGTTTGCTCTGTCACCAGATGGGACATCTCCCCTGGGTGCGGGGGCAAAATCAGCATTTATTTATTTAATATTTGCCTTTATTTAGTTAAGATTTGCCTTTATTTAGTTAAGATTTGCAAATCCTCTTCCCAACTCCAGCTCCATCGAAAGGGGGGAGCCGCTACAGTGAATTTCCGACGAGAACAACAATTACTGCTAAATATTTCTCTCCTCTCCGAAGATACCCATCCCTAAAAGGCTCCAGGGATATCTCTCAACATAAACACGAGAATAAAACCTGCAAGAGCCAGTCAGAGCTTTAGTAGACAAGGTTAATGTACCTTGAACGGCAGCATTAAACAACTTTGTTCTTTTTTTTAAGTGGAGAGCTGAGATACCTACATACATTTTAAAGTGTTATTTTTATAGAGGGAGACCATTAAAGCACCTTCCA